CAAATGCTCCCCCTCTCCCCAAACCCCTCCCTGGGGGCCTCGTCTGGTCGATCAGGAGGGGAAGCGCCCGGCCAGCCGGCGTACACGCGCCATGAGACAACACAGAGCTCCACGACGAGCCAAAAAGGCTCCAAGAGGCTCCCGAGCCGGTCCAAGAAGCCCCGAATCGCCGAAACATCGTTTCAAGACGCCCAGGATGGCCTCCAGACGGCCAAAGATGCTTCCAAGACGTGACCCTACGAATACGGCGGCGGTGCGCGGCTCGGGCGTACGAGTGGGGCTGCGTACGGCTACTAGTACGACTGCGACGTGCACGGCCGAGCGTACGAGTACGACTACGTACCGGTACGAGTACGACTGGAGGGGGCGTACGAGTTCGGCGACGTGGGCCTACTAGTACGGCAGCAGAATGCAAGGACGGTCGTACTAGTACAGCTACGTACGCCTACTAATACGGCGGCGGTGTGCCAGGTCGGGCGTACGAGTACGGCGACGTACGGCTACGAGGATGACTGCGACGTGCCCGGCCGAGCGTACGAGTAGGGCCACGTACGCGTACTAGTACGACCGGAGCGGGCGTACTAGTACGGCTACGTAGCCCTACTAGTACGCCTGCGGCGTGCACGGCCGAGCGTACGAGTACGGCTACGTACGGGTACTAGTACGCCTGCGGCATGCACGGCCGGGCGTACTAGTACGGCTACGTAGGCCTACTAGTACGCCTGCGGCGTGCACGGCCGAGCGTACGAGTACGGCTACGTACGGCTACTAGTACGCCTGCGGCATGCACGGCCGAGCGTACGAGTACGGCTACGTACGGGTACTAGTACGCCTGCGGCGTGCACGGCCGAGCGTACGAGTACGGCTACGTACGGGTACTAGTACGCCTGCGGCATGCACGGCCGAGCGTACGAATACGGCTACGTACGGCTACTAATACGCCTGCGGCGTGCACGACCGAGCGTACGAGTACGGCTACGTACGGCTACTAGTACGCCGGCGGCATGCACGGCCGAGCGTACGAGTACAGCTACGTACGGCTACTAGTACGCCCCGCGGTCGTACTAGTAGGAGGAAGTAGGCCTACTAGTACGACGACCGGGCTAAGCAAGCCTATTCTGGCCTCCTGTGGCCCTCTTGGGGCTCCCTGGTCACTCTTTTGGGAACCTCTGGGGACCGTCGTGGGCCGTCGGGGGGCTCTCATGGGCCGTTTTTTTTGCCGCGACTCGTTCCCGAACAGGATGCAGCCTTCCCCAGGCGCAGCCTTCCCCGAATCCGCATGAAAAGCTCTGGTCCCCTTTCCATCATCCTTTTTCCCTCCTCCTTCTCCTCCTCCACCATTACCTCCTCCTCCACACACCCCTTCCTCCCCATCCTCCTCCTCTAACTCCTACCTGGCCGTCGAGCAACAGGCGTCGGCAACGACAAACAAATGCTAAACCTGCCCAGAGTTGCGCGTGCCCTCGACCGTCGAGGACCCAGGAGGGGATATGTTTTGACGTTTTCGGATCGAACCTTTCCCCCCTCCCCAACCCCCTTCCCCCTCCAAGCGGCGAGCCCAAGGCGGCACGAAAGCATGTTCTGGCAACGGGCGAGCGCCGACAAAGGCACGCAGGGTTCCGTGCCAGCGAGTGCCTACCTGCCTGCGCCCAGAACTCCTGATCGTTCCTTGTCGCGCCTCCTACCTGGCCGTCGAGTAACAGGTGTCGGCAACGACAAAAAAATGCTAAACCTGCCCAGAGTTGCGCGTGCCCTCGACCGTCGAGGACCCAGGAGGGGATATGTTTGGACGTTTTCGGATGGAACCTTTTCCCCCTCCCCAGCCCCCATTCCCCCTCCAAGCGGCGAGCCCAAGGCGGCACAAAAAGCATGTTCTGGCAACGGGCGAGCGCCGACAAAGGCGCGCCGGCTTCCGTGCCAGCGAGTGCCTACCCGCCTGCGCCCAGAACTCCTGATCGTTCCTTGTCGCGCGTCCTACCTGGCCGTCGAGCAACAGGCGTCGGCAACGACAAAAAAATGCTAAACCTGCCCAGAGTTGCGCGTGCCCTCGACCGTCGAGGACCCAGGAGGGGATATGTTTTGACGTTACGGATCGAACCTTCCCCTCCCCAACCCCCTTCCCCCTCCAAGCGGCGAGCCCAAGGCGGCACGAAAGCATGTTCTGGCAACGGGCGAGCGCCGACAAAGGCACGCAGGGTTCCGTGCCAGCGAGTGCCTACCTGCCTGCGCCCAGAACTCCTGATCGTTCCTTGTCGTGCCTCCTACCTGGCCGTCGAGTAACAGGTGTCGGCAACGACAAAAAAATGCTAAACCTGCCCAGAGTTGCGCGTGCCCTCGACCGTCGAGGACCCAAGAGGGGATATGTTTGGACGTTTTCGGATGGAACCTTTTCCCCCTCCCCAGCCCCCATTCCCCCTCCAAGCGGCGAGCCCAAGGCGGCACAAAAAACATGTTCTGGCAACGGGCGAGCGCCGACAAAGGCGCGCCGGCTTCCGTGCCAGCGAGTGCCTACCCGCCTGCGCCCAGAACTCCTGATCGTTCCTTGTCGTGCCTCCTACCTGGCCGTCGAGCAACAGGTGTCGGCAACGACCAAAAAATGTTAAACCTGCCCAGAGTTGCGCGTGCCCTCGACCGTCGAGGACCCAGGAGGGGATATGTCTGGACGTTTTCGGATCGAACCTTTTCCCCCTTCGAACACATCTACAACTACACACAGCAAAACTGCACCTTGTTGCGGGGACCAGGGGTGGCAATCATAATTCGATTTGGCGCGCCGGTCGGTCTGGGTGGACGGACGCCGCCTCGCGACCTACGATGGAAGGCGATGGTCGTGCCGACGACGTTGCGTGCCAAGCGCGGAAACGATCGCCATGTTTCACGGCGAGGCTTGGCGGCACCCGCAAGAAAAATCATAACACGAAGAAGCGTTTCACCCTCGGACGGGGAATCCGGCACGAAGAAGAACTCGAAAGCGCGAGGGATCGGATCGCGAATTTGCTGCTGGGGCACAGGCGGGGGAGGGAAGCGGGCCGCGCGAGGTCGAGGCCGCCAGGCATGCGGCTGGCTTCGCTGAGCCAGGGGATGTGGGATGTCGGCGGGAAGCGGCCCGGGGGGCGGGGCCTCGGCGATGGGCGGCGCGGGCAGCCGATGCTTCGCGAAAAGGAGACACGTACAGAACGGCACTGAGCGGCCGGGGCGCGGTGCACGTTGGGGGCGCGAGAGGCGGCGCCCGACGTGCACCCCGCCCCGCTGGCTAAGTGTAGTTCTATAAGTGCTCCGTTTTGTGAGGATGTCTCCGGCGAAACCAGCGCGTACAGAACTACACCTATGCCTGGCTAAGTGTAGTTCTGAACGTGCTGGATGTCTCGCGCGGGGCGAGCACGTACAGACCGGCACCTAGCGAAAGGGGCGGGGCACAGGTCGGGTGCGTCGTCGCGCCCCGCCCGCAGAGTCAGGAAGGCAAGGGCCGCTGAACCGCCTGCTGGCCTCCGGGCGGGGGCGTCTGAACGTCCTGGGGCTTTCCGAAGGAATTCCGCGCGCGGCCTCTGCCCACGTCGCTCCCCCTATCAGAGCATCTCGCCTGGTCACGATGTTCCCCATTCCCGCCCGCTGCTTTGCCCTCCACCTCCCCCGTTCTTCCTCTACCTGCCGCCCTCCATTTCCTGGGGCGTTTTCCACTTGCCCCTGGCCCCTGCGCGGCGGCGAACGCCCGCGCCCCCCCGCAGCTGAAAGACTCACTTTGCGCTCATCCTCCAATCCGCTCGTGGGGCGCAGGTCTTGATTCCACACTGACACTGGCAAGCGAAGTCGAGGCCCGGGCAAATCCGACAGGCGCGATCGCCCCCTCGAATGGCGGGCGAACCAATACGTAAGACGATGTCGCAAAAGAACGTTTGGAATTTGGGGGTCCGCGCAAGAAGCTAATCCACTCGCCCAAAGTGTAGTTCTGCGCCTGTCCGACCCCCCCCAACCCCCTCCCCCCTCCAAGCGGCGAGCCCAAGGCGGCGCAAAAAGCATGTTCTGGCAACGGGCGAGCGCCGACAAAGGCGCGCCGGCTTCCGTGCCAGCGAGCGCCTACCCGCCTGCGCCCAGAACTCCTGATCGTTCCTTGTCGCGCCTCCTACCTGGCCGTCGAGTAACAGGCGTCGGCAACGACAAAAAATGCTAAACCTGCCCAGAGTTGCGCGTGCCCTCCACCGTCGAGGACCCAGGAGGGGATCTGTTTGGACGTTTTCGGATCGAGCCTCTCCCCCCTCCCACACCCCCTCCCTTTCCCCTCCAAGCGGCGAGCCCAAGGCGGCGCAAAGGTAGGCGCGCCGGCTTCCGCGCCAGCGAGTGCCTACCCGCCTGCGCCCAGAACTCCTGATCGTTCCTTGTCGTGCCTCCCACCTGGCCGTTGTGCAACTGTATAACAGGTGTCGGCGTCGACAAAAATTGCTAAACCTGCCGCAAGGTGCCCGTGCCCTCGACCATCGAGGATCAAGGATGGGATATGTTTCGACGTCTCGGTTATCTTGGGCTGGTTAAAAACTTTTCCTCTTTGAACTTCAATCGTTCGGTTCGTGTTCCCCCCGTCTCTCTGCCCTAGCGAACCCTTTTCCCTGTTGCTGCGCAAAGCCTTCTGGCCCGCGACACTGCGACGTCCAGAAAGCGGACTCAGCGATTCTAGGAGAGGGTGCTCCTGGGGGTGGGCCCAGCACGGCCACTCCGGTTCACTACGCTCGCCTGGGGCCGACCCAGGGCAAGCGCAACCATGGGTGCTAACAAAGACGGACCGAACGAGGCCCCTTAAAAATGATGGGTCGAGCGATGCCCTTGTGGTGCACTGCGCAAAAAGGAAGAAATCCAGCACGTGGCGGCGCGAAGACGGGGGCATGGCGAGGGGGCAAGCTTCCGAAAGCGATCGGGTGCGCAGGTGCGTACACCCGGACATCCAAAGGGGTGCCTTGCGTGCTCGACGCTACCTTCTTTTGTTCCGAAGGTCTGGCTGGCACGGGGCCTCACGCGTTGAACCAAGTGCCGTACTCCTCGTCCCCGGCCACCGTCTCGAGGCGATGGATCTTCCACTCTAACGACTCATACTCTTCCCTCAGACTATCAGGTATGTCCAGTTGACGCTTTAACGACTCAAATGACGACTCATACTCTGGCCTTATACCCGTCCCTGGTGGCATCTGCAGTTGACGCGCCATTTGCTGGAAGCGCAGTCTGGCCGAATTCAGATTCTTCTCCCGAAACCACTTCGCCCACTCCTTAGCTTCGGCCAGTTCCGTCGTGATGCAATGCAGCTCCTGTTCTAACAGTGGTAGATTGGAAGGTTTATGGTGCTCTATCATCTGGATTGCCTTTCGTGTAACCTCCCGTCTCGACTTCGCCGAGTCCAACAAATTGGCCAGGTCTTCGCGCATCTCCGCTGCATCCCGCTGCGACTCCGCGTGCCGCATCCTCAGCCGCCTTGAGGCGGCCTTACAGTCGCCCCGCACCTTCTCGCGGAAGGCAGAGGTGAGCACGCAGCCTCCGAACTTGCAGCGCAGCTGCAGCGGGGCTCCGCCCACCACGCGCTCCACAACCAGCGCGGTGAACGGAGGTAGAAGCCACTCGCGCTCCCCGGGATACGCGCTCAGCTCCATCATCGGGAAGGCGTGGGTGGCGCCGGATATGGCGAAGAGCACGTTGTTTTTCTTGGGCGCCTGCTGGTTGCAGTGCGCCTCGGAGATCGAGGCGTCGACTGTCGTGCTGGAGGGCGACGCCCAGAAGGAACGGTCGCCAGCGGCCTTGGCCCTGGAGCCATCGACTACGGAGCTGGGCAGGCCGCACAGGCCGCGCGTTACAACCATGGGCTTCTCGAGCGTCTTCGCCGAGTTCCGCGAAACACACCCGCCGGATCCATGCTCTCAGGCCGTCCAGAGCGTCCTGCCGGTCGCCAGCGCTGTTAACGCAGACGCGGGAGGCCCAGTTCGCCACCTGGAACATTTGTGGATTCCGCTTTCCGCCTACTTTTTGCCTGTACTCGCTGTAGAACTCGTCGCGCAGGGCGGGCTCTTCCAGGCCCTCTGGCAGTTCTGGGACGTCTGTAAAACAAAACAACCTGTCGATGTCGACGTCCTGCATGGCATACAGAACCAAAGTGGCGATGGCCAGCAATTCGTCCTGCAAGTCCCCATTCAGTGGCCTCGCAGACTATTTGTCGCGCAGCCGCTTGCACACCTCTGCGAGGAGCTGGATCTGCAACGGCGTCGCGTCGCCCGCGGGCCCAGTCTCCTTCAGGTTGTCGAGTAGCTCGTCCAGGATCGTGCCGGGCTTCTGCGCGTATAGCTGCTCAGCAAGAGTCATGAACCATGTGACCTGCGTCTCTTGGATCTCCGCCGATATCCGCGCGGCTCGGGACTTGGCGGTCAGCCCGGCGCCCGTGATCTTGCCCACAACGTCCAGAATCCACGCATTCTGGGTCTCGATCGCCGTGACCTGCGCCATCAGCCTCTCCAGCTCATCGAGCGCGAAATCGTCTGACTGCTGCGCGCGCTCTCTGGTCTCCGCTCTTTTCCCTTCTGCCAACGCCCTCGCCTCTTCGATCTCCGCCTCGAAGTCCTTGCACAACATCTCCAAGCGCTTCCTCGCCTGCTTCTGTCGCTCCGCCGCCGCGGTGGCCCTGGCCTGCTGCTCCAGCCTCTCGGCCTCCTCATTGAGACGCCTCTCCTCTGCGGCCTTCGTCGCCCTCTTCTGGCGCTCGGCTTCCGCTTTCGTCAGATCTTCTCGGATTGAAGCCTCGTCCTGAGAAAATAATCACTGTACCTAGGGCTTGCACTTCTGCAACTCATGCCAGCACGTGACGCTGTCAGTGATAGGCATGCCGTTGACCATGCTGATGCCCCAGCCTGGCCGCGCGCCCAAGAATCGGGCCTGGCACGACACGCGTTCCACAATGGTAGTTCCCTGGGTCCCAGCGAGACCGCGCGCGCCCATGGCGAACTCGAATTTGGCGATGCCTGGCTGCAACGGCACGTCCGACAGTTCACCTGGCATACCCGCTGATATAGGACTCTGCACCATGCGCTGTCGTGTTCGTGCGCTGCTCGCGCTTGAGCCAAAATGGCTTGAGCCAAAATGGCTACGGAGGCTCTCGTGGGCCGCGTTGGAGCTCTCTTGGGCCGTCTTGGGGCCCTCTTGGGGGCCTCTTGGATCGTCTCACGGCGTCTTTGGGGCCTTTGGGTCCGTCTTGGGCGCTGTTAGGACCGAAGAAGCGAATATGCTAAAAACGTACGTTGTCCGAAAGGAATCTGGCTGCTTTTGCCTTTTGGTGACCTGCTGGGAGGCCTCTTGGGCCGTCTTTAAAGTCTCTGAGGCAAAAAATATAAATTTCCCGCTGGTTTGTGAAATATTCGAATTTCTCGAGGACCTTTTCGGAAGCTTCTCGGGCACCTTCGGTGGCCTCCTGGGCCGTCTTGGAGCGCTCTTGGGGTCCTTTTGGTGCGTCTTGGGGAGCTCTTGGGCCATATGTAAACAATCTTGGGCGGATTTAGGGCTGCTCTGAGCCTCGGGGGCGGGTCCCGGAGGGCTCCTGGGAGGGGGGCACTACCTATGTACAAGGGGGGGCCCTGCGGGTCCCCGGGGTCGGAATCCCCCGTAGATGTAGACTAGAACCATCGCGCGCGCTTCGCGCGCGCTCAAGTTCTAGCTAGGTTCGATAGGCCAACGCATGGAATCTCAACTGTTGAAGCGCCTTGTGCATCTAACGACCTTCTTGGAGTCCCTGCGCAAGCCTCGGAAGCGTATACAAGGGGAATTGCGGAAACCACAACATCAACTTCCTTTAGGTGCTCAATGATTTGGGCCCCTCGAAGGCTTCCTGGGGTCTTTCTTCGGTGGTGGCGGGGGCCTTAATGATGGTCTGATGTGCAAAAATTAGCAGGGCACATTGAAATTAGCCCGGCGAAGGACCTAACCATATGCAGTTGTGAATACCGCAGTTGTAAGCATCGTCTTCGGGGAGCGACGCATGCGGACTGCGCCGCTGGAACGTTCGGTGGAGCCCCCTTATAGGGCCACGAAACAATGCACTGGGTGGGGGAGACGCATGCGCCACTGGAACCTTCGGTGGAGCTCCCTATGGGGCCACGAAGCGCTGCACTGGTGGGGGAGACGCATGCGGGCTGCGCCACTGGACCTTCGTCGGAGCTCCCTATCAGCGAAGTACTCGGTGGGTGAGACGCATGCGGGCTGCGCAATTGAGACCTTCGGTGGAGCTCCCTATGGGGCCACGAAAGGCTGTATTGGGTGGGAGGGACTCATGCGGGGTGCGCCAGTGGAACCTTCGGTGGAGCTCCCTATGGGGCCACGATCGGTGTACTTGGTGTGGGAGACGCATGCGGGGCGCGCCACTGGGGCCTTCGGTGGAGCTCCCCATGGGGCCACAAAGCGCTGTACGGGGTGTGGCGGACGCATGCGGGCTGCGCCACTGGGACCTTCGGAGGAGCTCCATACTGCCCTTTCGGGCCGTCCTGTGCGCCTCTGGCGCCGTCTTGGGGCCCCCTTGGGCCGTCTTGGGGCCGTCTTCGAAGCCCCTGGGGCTGTCTTGGAGCGGACAATATGACATCTTGGGTCGTCGTGGAGCGTCAGAACACTGAAAAGGCGAGAACTTGGAAATCCTTCCAAAACCTTTGGAAAATCATTAACAAGTTGTGCCTCGCGGGACTCCTTTGGAGGCATCTTATCTAGGAGGTTTCTGGGGGCGTCTTGGAGGCCTCTTGGATAGTCAGGGGCTAATTCTGGCCGCCTTGGCCGTCTTGGCCGTCATTGGTCGTTCCCGCAATCTGGAAGCGCCATGTTTGGCGATCCTGGGGCCGTCTTCGGGCGATCTCACGGGGCCCCCGGCGCCTCGGCAAAACCCCCAGAACTTCCCAGTCCCCCAGATGGGGACGCATGTTTGGGGACCGCGGGCCTGTGCATATATATATATATATATATATATATATATATGTCACACGCACCTCTCCGGGGGAGTAGAGCTCAGAGCCGATTAGTGCGTGCGCGGGGCGCCGCGTCCGCGATTTTTCTGGCCGCTTTGCTAGGGACATCCTCGAAATTCTGAAAATCGGCGTCACCCCTAACGCAGATCGCGACGTCAGGGTCCAAAAACACATGGGGAATTTCAACATTCTAACATAAAACCTCCAAAACGCACATTGTAATTTCAATGATTTTAACCCCCGATTCACAAAGAATGACGATTTCGCCGAAAACATCCTCCCAAAATCGAGCCCCGACGTACCTTCTGGTACCCCAGACCCCGCCTCGGAGCCTCTTGGGAACCTCCTGGAACCTCCTGGGGCCTCCTGGGGCTTTCTGTGCCTTCTGGTACCCCAGACCCCGCATCGGAGCCTCCTGGGGGTCTCCTGGAACCTCCTGGGGCCTCCTGCGGCCTCCTGGAGCTTCTTGGGGCCTCCTGGAGCCTCCTGGGGTCTTCTGGAGCCTCCTGGGGTCTTCTGGGGCCTCCTGAGGCCGCCTGGGGCCTCCTGGGGCCTCCTGGGGCCTCGGAAACTACATGCGCACACAAAGACACAAATCACACCCAACACATCACACGCTAGACAAACATAAGACACACACAACACCTACAGCGCACAGGGCACACGCACAACACAGAAGACACATCACACACACAACACTCACAATCCCGGGGCCTCCTGGAGCCTTTTCTGGTATCCAAGTCGGGCCTCCTGACGTTTCCCGGGGGGCCCTGGTGCACACATCGCAAGGTGTGGCAACCCCACTTGCGCTCGATTGCGACCTCGATATTAGATTCTGTTGCGCTCACCTCCTGCCTCTTCCCCTTTTCTTAGGCACGCCCTGGCGGCGCCGCCCCAGCGCCGCCCCAGCTTCCCTTTCTCCATCTCCGATCCTGCAGTCATGGTGTTTCCCGGCTTCAAACGCCCTTTCAGTTTGTTGTATGAACCTGGGCACACACGCGCCACTTGTGTATATACATACATATATATATATATGTATGCATACACAAATGTCTAGATGCATGCATAGTCGCACACACATCCATACATACATATATACGTACATACATACATACATACCTACATACATACATACATACACACATACATGCAAACAAACATACAAACATACATGAGCACGTACATACAAACATACGCACACATACATACATGCACGCATACACACATACATACACATACATAGCTGGCTCGGGGAAGCGGCCGCCATGGCGTCGATGGCAGCTGCTCGCTTGCGACCGAAGCCTACCTCTGACCGACGTCTTGGCCGAGGCTCCCTCGTAATTCCCTTGTGGGTCCCTCGGCCCTCCTCGCTGCTGCGGTCTTTCAAATTGAGCGCTCGTGTTGCTGGAGCACGCGCCTGCGCCGGCGCCTGCCAGTCTCGCCCCGCTCGCGATGCTCCAGCCACGCGCGCGGGAACTGCCGGGGGACGCCGCGCCCGCGAGAGCGCAGTCCTCCGCGGGCACGTCGAGCATTCGAACCCTGTCGGGGCAATGGTGCTCGGAGAAACGGCGCACTCGCCGCCTCGCGTTGCCCGTGGACGTCTTCCACACGAAAAAGAGCTCCACCGGCCGCCGGCCGCTGGCACTCTCAGGCCACTCCGCTGCACCGCGGCCCAAGCCTGCCGCGCGGTGCCCCCATCTCGACGATGCATCTCGGCGCGCTTCAAAATGCGCCGCAGCTGGGCGATGGCCTGCCGCTTAGGAAGGCCTGCCCCCCTTGCAGATGCGCATCAAACATGCCTCGGCCTCTGACGCAGACGCAGTTGCGCCCGCGTCTGTTGCAGACAAAGAAGAAGGCAAACGGGGCGCCGC